CATTGCGCCAGTGTTTCAGCTATTGACACCTGCTATGTTGAAGCCCACATTAGGCGTAATGAGGAGAATAGCTAATTCATCTATCTTGTCTTGCTTTCTGTACCAGGGTGAGAAGGACTGTAGGCTGGGAGAGGGCGTCTATCAAGAGGCTAGGGAGATGGTTTAAAGCAACACTGTTTGTGGTGGGATCAGAGGCATACGGTTCTGCGGTAGCTTCCTTCCAGGCCTGATTTCACAAAATTGCCAGTAATTGGCACTTCCAGTGAGTGTCAGTGCTCTCCATCTGCAGCTGAGAGCCACTCTGAGGTTAGGTATCCCTTTCCAGCTCTGAAAACATCAAAGCAGCCATATCCAAGCTAATCTTGATAACCACGAGGCCACACATGCTCCGGGCTGCTAAGAGAAATTGGCTCCTGGACAGGAAGATTTGGTCCATGCGCCACCCAGCACTTCCAGAGGATTATGGAAAACTAAGCTGGATTTGTACAAAACTCACGCGGTATAATGATGTTCCCAACCTACTAAATCCCAGAGAGTGGCCAGATCTCTGAAAGCTGGAAAAGGCTGTCTTCTTAATAGTCCACTTGCTGGCTCCGCGGTGTGCCTGAATGCCTGTAATCTCCAGACCTCTACTTTGATTTCCCAGTGTCATGAGATCTAGGTAGCTGCTTCCACGTGATCCTGGAGACCCTGTCTTCATGGAAACCTCTGAAAGAGCTCATTTTGAAGCTCCTCTTTAACGGAGTTCCCCGTCTTAGGTTCACACCTGGCCTTCCATGACATCCCAGCTCGCATGACTCCTGCATTTCAAGGCAGCAAGCAGAACCAGTTTTCTTGCCAAGTGCAGTTAACCTGTAGAAAGAAGCCCATTGGGCTGTGCAGAGAGCAGCTGTTGGACTAGCTCAGAGCTGAGATGCATCTGCCCAAGGGTTTTCCTCTTATGCTATAGGAAGGAGGCAATGGCTATCAAACTTTTGACCTTAGGATATATAAAGAAAAGGAGATTCTCTTAAATTCTTCATGTTTCATGATGTTGAATAAAGAAAAAACAAATAGCCTATCAAGATCTGGAAAGATGGTTCAAAGGTTAAAAGCACTGGCTGCTCTTCCAGAGATCCTGAGTTCAAGTCCCAGTATCCACATAGTGGCCCACAGCCATCTATAATGAGATCTGCTGCCCTCTTCTGGCACGCAGGTATAGATGCAGGTAGAACACTGTACAAGTAATATAATTAAATAATTGATCTACCTTTTTCTTGACTTAATTACCTTTTGATGCAATAAATTTTTATTCAGAATACAGGTTTTTATTTTTGTTGCATGTGTGCATGTGTGTTGTGTGTTCTTGTATGCATGTTTTTGTGTGTGCCATGATATTCATGTGAAGGCCAGTGAACAGCTTGGGGGAGTTGGTTCTCTCTTTCCACAATGTGGGTCTTTGGAATCAAACTCAGGTCATCCCTCTGAGCTAAGACAAGGCCTCCATATGTAGCCCAGACTGACTTTGAACTCCAATCCTCCTGCCTCTGCCCCCCAAGAACTAGGATTACAGATATCTGATACGACACTTGTCAGAGTAAAGCATTTCTTGGGCACTGCTGTATGAGAGCCCTGTGGGAGGAGCTAGCATGGGCATTCCTCATACCTCAGTCCTCCGTGCCGTGGACGAGATGCAGTGAGAGACATGCACTACTGGTTCACATCCTTAGTGAGCCAGAGAAACTGTGACCAAGGGAGGATAGAAGGACATCAGGGGCTGAGGGGACGACTTGCCCCTTCCAACATGGAAGAAGGCATAACCAGTAACCGAAAGCAGCCCTTTCTACATTTTCAGGGGAATCAGATAGAGCTCAGAGTCGGTTGTTGGTTCTAGAAGATGCACTGAAGTGTAAAAAGCTGCTTGCATCGAACATTAAAGCCAGTTCACTTCCACACAGCACTGCGGACGTCTAAACAGCAGAACCTTTAGATGTGCCCGCCCGCATCCTTGCTCTTGTTGAAGGTGGAAGATTAGAGACTGAGGCAGAATTTAAAGGTTTAAATACTCAGTTCTGAGAGTATCCCCCAGCATCCATTATCAGCTGCGGGTACATGAGAGATGAAAGTCTTCTATGAAGGCCTTTCCCACCCACCCCAGCCTCTTATATAAATCCAAAACTAAGCCTATAAATCCTCCTCTGCCCCTGTCCAATCCTGTAATCCGAGGACATGTCTGTGACTTATAGAGGTGATGGAAGTTATACCATATCTTTCTTGGGAAAAGTTGAGATTTTACAGCAACACACTCAGGCATGAGCTTTGTTTCTTATCCGACTACATTTTAAAGGGGGGAAACTGAGTCTTTATTCTGGGAGTGATGGGGGAAACTGACCCATTCCTTGAAAATATTTACTCAGAATGAGATTTCTGGGTTAATTTATATATAAGAAAGTCACAAAATTAAACTCTTGCTATTTAAATATTGCTTAGCTAGGTGGTAGTGGTGTACACCTTTAATCCCAGCACTCAAGTGGCAAAGGCAGGTGGATCTCTGTGAGTTGGAGGCCGGTCTAGTCCACAGAGTGAGTTCCAGGACAGCTATGGCCACACAGAGAAAACCTGTCTCAAAACGAAACAAAAACAAAAGCAAGCAAACAAACAAAAACCAAAAGCCCAAAAGCTTAGTCTTACCCATTTTTGTTTTGCAAACCTAAAGCATTTAGCTTTTCTGCATCATGTAAAGATGTTTAGGAGAGGAAAATCTGCAAAAGTTAGTCGGGGAGGGAAAGTGAAATCTTCCATTAAGGGACAGTGGCAGGCAGAAGAAAGCCACACATGCAGTGACTGGGGAATGAGCTTTGCTGTGATGAGAAAGATTGAGAAGCCATAGGCAGCCTGCTCCTCTTTTCAGAAAGAAAGGGAGGGAACTAGAAGATGAACATCACTGAGGCCGCTGCAAGTGGTCTTTTTATCTGAGGGTGGATCTTCCTGGTCCAGCCCTGACCAGGGAGCATCCTCATGATCAAAAGTGATGTAGATGTCCTTACAGCCTGGCAGCTGCAGTTGCCTGCTGAAGAAGGCAGTCCAGTGAGGGGTTTATGAGCCCATCTCTGAGTAGCTAGGGTGTCCACACTCTACTCATGGCCCACAGAAGTATCTGAACAGCACAAACTGTAGCTGATGGGTTATTAAAAAAGAGGAGGTAGACTGCACGTATTGGCTTTGTGGGAGCCTAGGCAGTCTGGATGCTCACCTTACGAGACCTGGATGGAGGAGGGTGGTCCTTGGACTTCCCACAGGGCAGAGAACCCTGATTGCTCTTTGGGCTGACGAGGGGAGGGGACTTGATTGGGGGAGGGGGAGGGAAAGGGGAAGCGGAAGTGGGGAAGAGACAGAAATCTTTAATAAATTAAAAAAATAAATAAAAAGAGGAGGTAGGCATGAAGTTTGGAGGGGTAAGCAGTTGGGGGTGGATCTGAGAAGAGTTAAAGGGAGGAGTTTGGATGAATATGATGAAAATATATCGTATGAGATTCATGAAATTCTCAAATGATTTATCATCATCATTATAGAAAAGAGATGTACATAGTTGGGACATGTTCGTCATTGATTTGTTAGGCTCCATACCTTCTGAAGTGCAGGTTCTCATGCTTTAGGAATTGGAAGGAGTTCACAGATATAGTATGTGAGATATAGACAAATCTCAACATCTTGAGAAGTACAAATGAATCACGCTGTAACCTCAGCAGGACCCCCTTGGTCTGTCAAAGCCCTGGATATTAGAGTAGTAATACAGTGTCATCCGCCTCATGCTGATGTCCCCTGGGAGGTCTTGACTACTATCAGTGGACTATATAGTCTCACTAAGTAGCAGTCATGCCCAAACTCAGATCATCAAAACATGGCTAGTGCTCGAGTTGGGCATAAGGTAGAGTCTAGTGAAATAACCCAGAGTTGATGATGGTGCAATGTTTGGTTTTCCTCACTGTGGGCTCTGAGACTGTATATTTACATATCTTTCATTTTCAATACTTGAAAGTAGGTGAGAGGTAACTAATCATCATGTTATCTAACCGGCAGGACACCTTTGAGACGAGACCATGCCTAGGGAGCCCAGCTGTGCTGGGTTGCTGTAGACAATCTGGGAATTGCTTCTCTGCCCTCCCTCTCTTTCCTTATTAAGTGGTGGAATCCTGGAAGCCTTTGAGCTTTCCCACTGGGCTCCTAAAGGAAGAAGTTACATAGCAGAATAAAAGCAAGGAAAGAGGCTGCACCATGTCCCAGAACCAGTGCCCTGGAGCTTCATCCCTGTTTTCTTCTAGTAGTTTTATAATTTTGACTCTGATCTGAGTTAATTTCTATATGTGGTATAAGTCGGGAGTCTAATTTCACTCTTCTGCTTATAAATATTTCATTTTCCTAATGTCATTGATTGAAGAGACTCTCCCCATTATGAGTACAGATCTGGGTATACAACGTCTTAGAGAAGGGCTGGCAAAGAGTTGTCTCTCCTTTCTGCTGGTCACTGTGAGGATGTGTGTGGTCTGTGAGGATGCCAGTCTTCAGCTGGTTCTGCAGTTAACCGTTGTCTTCTCAGCCCCATAGAGGCCCTTCTGTAGGAGCTCCTGGGAACTTGGCCATTAGAAGTCAGAGGATGGCCCAGTCCCTCCTAGTTTGATGGGCTCATTGGACATTTGGTAGTGGCTGGTGACAGATTCTGAAGGATCAGAACTACTTTCATACTGGAAGGGACAAATGAGGCCAAGTCCAATTCTAAGTGCAGAATTGGAACACTTGCCTCTGGCGCCTGTCTTCAGTTGACGGCCGCTTCAGAGACATGGTGACACAGGTGCTATTTCTAGAGTATGTGTGCATCTGAGAAATCCTGAATTCTTCCACCTTTCCTTCTCTGGCTGCGTAGGCTTCTGACCACCATGCACATCCTCAGCCACACTGACCCTTGCTGTGCCCTTGTGGAGTCTCTGCATCCTTCACTCTTTCTTTTCCGTCTTCCTTCCCAGAGTCAAGCTATGAGAATTGTGCGGACGGTGGGTCAGGCCTTTGAAGTCTGCCACAAGCTGAGCCTGCAGCACACCCAGCAGAATGCAGATGGCCAGGAAGATGGGGAGAGTGAGAGGAACAGCGACGGCTCAGGAGACCCAGGTAAGCACCGTGGCTGCAGATGGGGAGGACACAGTGTGGGTCCATCTGTTAAGTTACTTTAAAACTAATTCTAATAATTCCACCCTTACTTTGATTACATTTTTTTCCTTTTGTTCTCTTTTTGTCTGTTTTAGCTTTGAGATAAGTTCTTGCTTTGTAGCCCAGACTGACCTTGAACTTGGACTTCTCCTGCCTTAGCTTCCTGAGTGAGGGATGGTGTTAATATGTCCCAATAACAGCTAGTCAGAAATCAGACCTACATGATTTCTTCCGCAGAAAAAGAAGTTCATTAATATGACAGTTTAACCAAGATAAAGTATTTAAGAATAGATAGATATACATATTTAGTTTAAGAAATGGAAGACCATACCATAGTATTGAATGGAAAACCTAAATGTCGTAAGCATGAATACTGTGTCTGACGTGGCACAGGTTTCTCTCAGCAAAGGGGACATCCTGGTAACCTGTGGTACTCACATCCAAAAAGCTTATGTGGAAGAGTTAAAATGGTAATCAAAGAAAAATGCAAAAATTCAATTATTTCCATTAGCAGATGAGACATCCTAAAAGTCATATGAACTAATTATTCACATCAGAGTTAGAAAACAGAGGGGGCAGAGGCAGGAGAATCATGAAGAATTCAAGGCCAACCCATTCTACATATAGCTTGTCTCAAAAAACAAATGAAAGAAGTTTAAAAAAAATTCCAAAAATAGGGGTGGAGAGATGGCTCAGAGGTTAAGAAAACTGTTCTTCCAGAGGTCCTGAGTTCAATTCCCAGAAACCACAAACATCTATAATGAGATTTGGTGCCGTCTTCTGGCATGCAGGCAGAATACTCTATACATAATAAATAATTAAATCTTTTTAAAAATCACAAAAATAGGTATTATGCTTAAACAGCAGTATTGTCACGTGGCTGGACAGAGAGGCTCCTGGTTTGCATTGGGACAGAACAGTCACAGTCTCTAGGCATGCAAAAGTTAGTTCCACTCGGCCTTGAGCCTAAGTATCTACTTCTGGAGAACAGCTCAGAGTGTGTGCCTCAGGGTCATGACATAATTCAGTGAGCTAATAGATTTTAAAAGGCCAAGTCTGATGCTTGGCATACAGAAAGCCCTAGATACATACATGTTAGCTATAGATGCATACATGTTAGCTATTTATACACACATGTTAGCTACTGCTACTTGAGCACAGATGTGTGAAAATTTTTTAAATAAGGGTAGAAAGTTTCTAGGAAAAGTGAGTAACAAAGGATTCACACTCTGTATTTAAATAACTATCCGTGTAGATGCGACCAGGGAGAGCTGTGCTGTTGTGAAGCAACTGAGCCGCTCAAAGCAGGAGGCCAGAGCCCAAGTCTGGCACATGCACTAATATGTTGCAGATCCCTGGGAAGAATAACGTGAAAATACCCGCAGAACTCAAAATTCTACATGTCAGTTGACTCCTAAATCATGCTCGTATCTCTAGGACTGCATTCTAAAGATAGATCATACATGTGAAACAGTAAACCTTCTGCATGGTTACATAAGTGAGGAATCAGTTATAAAGCCAAAGGATTATAAAAGACAGTTTCGTTTCTTTTCTCTTTTTGAGGCAGAGTCTCGCTATGTAGCCCCGACTGTCCTGGTCTCACTCCGTAGACCAAGCTGGCCTTAAACTTAGAGAGATCAGCCTGCCTCTGCCGCTGCCTCTGCTGCTTGATGAAAGGTGCGCACCATCGTGCCTAGCTATGAAGTCACTTTTAAATATAAATAGTAGACTATTGCTCAATGATTAAGAAGAATCCTCAGTTGTCTGTGAACTGATATAATTCCATCTTAAGACATTTTGTCCATTTTGTAAGAATCAAGTTCTAGAACTGTGGTTATGCTTCCTAGAGATTATATTTTATTGTAAGTACATAGGAATAATTATGCATACACATGTGGTATACATGTATGTACATGTGTGTGCACATGCAAGTTTACCATGCATAGAATCTTCACAGCTTGATTCACAAGAAAGTGGCAACATAGATCATTCTGTGAAAAGGAGCCAGGTGGCTGAGGTAGCAAGAAGATTTACCCCCACTGTACTCATAACTTTTCTACCCTGGACACATGTTAGTCATAAATTAGGAAAACATGACATTTCATCTAGAGCCCTGTTTCTCTGTGACCACAGGGGACCATTGTGCTTCTTTCTTGGCTCTCTCATTTGTGCCAACTGATGGTGGCCTCTGGCTAATGCAAGCATCACAGTAACCTTCCCTAATAATAACCATCACTAGATGGAGCCTTGTATTTTCCCTTGTGCACCGGACCACTTGTGTTTATAGCAGGCCATGGTCTTAAAAGCACTGTATAGGCTGGCTGAGCCATATCCCCAGCCTCTGTTAACACTACTTTGCCAATGGCCTGCTACCTTGCTGGTAGAGAGTGGCAGCCGAAATCTCGAGAGATTTCAAGCCCATGCTCACACTGGCAGCTGGGAGAGAGAGAGAGAGAGAGAGAGAGAGAGAGAGAGAGAGAGAGAGAGAGAGAG